AGTATCATTATGAGTCCTCTCGGACCTTTCTCTATTAGTTGTGTCGAAACACAACTCCTGGCCTTGAACATGCCGATGTTCTTTGGGGTCAGCTTCCTTGGTACGATGCGTCCTCTAAGAATCTCCCCTTCTTGACTCTCCTCGCCCGACCTCCCTTGAAGGCCATTGAGAGTGTTTCTCGGTCCTGGTGTGCTAGGGGACTGTAGGGACTGTTTTCTGCCCATCTTTTCGGGCATCTTTCTTGGCCGCTGGAATAGGCGTATCTTGTAACGGGAATGATGGCTACATGACATTGTTCTGCATCATGAAGTTGACAACCGTTTGCAGGTCCGCCAATTTGTTTGCCATTCTCTTCATCTCGTCGTCCCTCCATGGGCATCTTTTTTTCCACACCTGGAGGTCATCCTCGTTATAATACCCACTTCGGTCTGATTTCTTTGGTGCGTCGCCCTACTGGCCGACGTCCTTTTCTCCGTGATTCTTATCATGAGTCTCTTTGTTGTAGTTGTCTTCTTCGATGTCAAGGTCAATATGTTTCCCACTCCCAGTAGGAGTGTCGTCCCCAACCTTCTCTTTCTGTCCATTATTGGCCATCTATTCTCCTTTCTTTCTCACAGAGGGCGCTAAATTGTGTGAGTTGATTTCTGACCGCACTGTGAACAACTTGTCACAGAAAAAAGAGATTCTGACAATGGTTCGCCCACCCGGGGACACTTCGATGATCAAGTCAGTTATCTCTCAAAGATTGTAAAAGTGCTTAACTCACTGTTCAGAATACAAAAAGCGTACCTTAGACCCATGAGGGTGCCCCTCTTTTATAACCAACACTGACCTAATCCCAACAGAAGCCTAGCTCCAATGGATTCTGTCTCAATGCTAATCCAGAACTCCTAGTTAGATCAGGATAAACTCTCTAAGAGTCTTATCTTTATGCAGACTGAAGTTCTCTCCCAATCTAGGACTCTTGTCCTTTATCCGCTTATCCCGGATTCTGATATTTTCTCAAATAATCGCGGCCTAGCCGAGATTATCTCGGCATCATGTCCAGGACACGTGGCACCTCAGCTGACATTTCGGTGCCACCTCGGCCGCGTGTTGTCATTCAAAAATTATGTCCCCACAATATATATATATATATATTAAGAAGAAAATATATTAACATATCTGCGTGATGTTATTTGGTGGTCTTAGAGAGCGAAGGATAAACCACTAAACCTAGTAGGTGGCAAGCAGGGGTGATCATCTCCTACGATGTTAAAATGCCTTCTTGTTACATTAGTATTAATTATTAATTAACATATGAACTCATGCGATGCACGAAAAAAATAAATAATTAAAAATAATTTAAAAATTAAATAATAATATAAAATTTATTTAAAAAATATAGAAAAATAATTTAGAATGAATTAAATTTTAGTCATCTTATTAGAATATATGTGGATCTTTGAGAAGTTGTTATTTTAGTAGGCTATTTTAGTTTTTGACTATTTTAGGAGGTTAAAATTTGTGTTGGATGCACAATATTATGATATTAAATAGGAGCATAAGATTTACTTTACATAAGTGAAACAATTCACTTTTTTTTTTTGTTTTCCTGATGTGAGATTATAAAATAAAAGATAACAATTATTTGGGCAGAAAGTTTATTTCTAATCAAGCAATCTTAGTTGTTCAATCTTTAATCTGATCAATCTTTAGTTTATTTTGAATCAAACAAATCTAACAAATATATTTTGATAAAACTGCTAAAATAGCGGTTAAACCAACGAATCAATCAAACAAAAAATGATTCAACCTAATTGGTTAGGTCAAAAGACCAACCAACTTACGCAAATATTAATAAATTAAAACTTTTAAATTTCATTTTAAAATTTAAACTACATTGAATTGAAACATGCAACACTACAATATTAAATGGGAGTATAAGATTCACTTTATATAAGTAAAACAACTCACTTTTCCTTCTTTTTTCGACGTGGGATTATAAAATAAAGTTTCAAATTATTTGGACGAGAAGTTTATTTCTAATCAAACAATCTCAGTCGCTTAATCTTTAATTATATCAATATTTAGTTTATTTCGAATCAAACAAAATTAATCAATATATTTTGATAAAACTGCTCAATAAAACTGTTAAAATCGCAGTTAAACAAATAAATCAGTCAAATCAAAAATGATTCAGCCTAATCAGTTAGGTCAAAAGACCAACCAACTTATACAAAAATTAATTAATTAAAACTTTTAAATTTTATTTTAAAATTTAAATTATATTAAATTGAAACATGTATAACACTACAATATTACATGGGAGTATAAAATTCACTTTATATGAGTAAAATAATTCACTTTTTTGTTCTTTATTTTAAAAGTTAAATTATATTAAGTTGAAACATTTACAACACCACAATATTAAATGGGAGAATAAGATTAACTTTATATGAGTAAAACAATTCATTTTTTCCTTCTTGTCCCGGTATAGGATTATCAAATAAATCATAGACTAATTAGCTAGCTAATGGAGATTTTCTTAATTGTTTAAAATTAAGAAAATCAAGAAAATTAGTATGAGATATTGGAGCTCTCACCATGCTCCTCACTGAAAACAGTTAGCCTTATCAATTAGGTCAAATGACCAACCAGCTTATACAAAATTAATTAATTAAAACTTTTAAATGCTATTTTAATTTAAAAATTTTAACTGGCTTGAATTGAAACATGCACAATACTACAATGTTAATGTTCATTTTATAGAAGTAAAATAACTCATTTTTTTTCTTTTTCTGGTATGGGATTATAAAATTAAAGTTAACAATTACTTGGACTGAAAGTTTATTTTCAATCAAGTAATCTTAGTCATTCAATCTTTAATCAGATGAATCTTTAGTTTTTTTCATATCAAATAAATCTAATCAACATATTTTGATAAACTGGTTAAAATCGCGGTTAAACCAACAAATCAGTCAAATAAAAAATGATTTAGCCAAATTGGCTAGGTTAAAAGACCAACCAATTTACACATAAGTTAATTAATTAAATCTTTTATATTTTATTTTAAAATTTAAATTATATTAAATTAAATTAGTTTCCCTATGTGGGATTATCAAATAAACCATGGACTAATTAGCTAGCTAATAGAGATTTTTTTAATTATTTAAATTTAAGAAAATCAAGAAAATTAGTACTATGAGATATTAAAACTCTCACCACACTCACCACTAAAAAACCTCATTTTCTTATAAAATATATAGATAGATTATCTCCAAAACTATATAGGCTCACCTCCTCCATATATTTTTAAAAGTTTAAATGGTCTTACTATATCTTGACTTCATTGACAAAGGTAAAACGCCAAGGGCCTGGTTGTTTTAGTCCAAAAGCCATGGGATTGAACTAGTAATCTCATGGGTTTCACAAAAGTTGTGTTTGGTTTGAACAAAGACCTTAGGACTAGTAGTCCCTTGAGACTATTAATATCCTCGAAGGAGGGGATTAACAGTCTCATGAGAGAGGTGAGATTGGTATTCTAATCCCGTGGGATTGGTATTGGAAGGGAAAAGATAATTTTGCTCTCCATTTATAAAGATAACAAAGCTACATTTTATATAATAAGAACTTTTATGTAATTTCATATATTTAGTCCCAACCAACTAATATCACCATACTAGTACACAAATAAACACAATTTTATTAGCTCTCTCACTAGCAATCCGTACACTAATAATCTCCTCACTAACAATTCCACTCAATCTAATTCTAAAAACAAACACTACAAGAAAAGTGGGCAAATAACACGGAACTTTTTGCGACGACGTGTATACCGTCGCGAAAAGTGGTCTTTTGCGACGGCATATGAAGCCGTCTCAAATGTTGTTTTCTGCGACGGCTGTTTCCCCGTCGCTAATAAGCACAAAACAAAAAGTCACTTAGATACAGAAGTATTAGCGATGGCACTGTGTACCGTTGCAAAAAATATTTTTTTGAGACGGGTGAAATTTATCGCCGCAAATAGTGGACATTTGTGACGGGAATGCTCTGTCACAAAAAAAAAAAAAAAAAACCCTTAATAAAACAGCGTCATTTTATAAATGGATTTGATCATTTGTGACGGTTTTTCCATGCAATCGCAAATAGTCTGAAATTTCATCTCCATCCTTCAGCCGAAATGGCGCTCAATCAAATTCCCTAAAATCCCAAAAATCACTAACACCTTTCTCCCTCAAAACCTCCAAAATCTCTAAGACCATTCTCCCTTAAAACCCCCCAAATCCCTAAATCCCCAAAATCCCTAAATCCCCAGAGACGAGTTCGACGACGATCTCTCTCCGTCTCTCGACGAGCGACGACGGTGACGGCTAGCGGTGTTCGAGTTCACCGACGATCACAACAACGACGGCGAGTGTTCACCGATGATATCTCTCTCGATGAGCGACGACGTCTAACGGTGGTGCGGCGATGGCATGTTACGATCTCTCTCTTTGAGCTCAGTTAGTACGTATGCTCTCTCTCTCTCTCTCTCTCTCTCTCTCTTTCGGAAGCCCACAGTAATTTATTTTGGTCACTCATCTTGTATAGAGATCAGGTGCATTTCTCTCATTGCTATGATTCAAAATTGTAATATCTGATTACTCCATTTTTTGTTCTATATAAGTAATATCTGATTTTGATGTCTACTCTTTTTTTGGTCACGACGACGACCACAATCGATTGTCATCTACTCTTCCAATAAGTCTCTATTCTACAAATCCAAATCTTTCAATTTTTTTTACTTACTCTTTTTTTCTTAATGCAACAATTTTAGAATCAAATAATGGACTCTCGAGTGATCAGAAGAGAGAGTTTCTTGAACGATACAGTCTTAATCCCGGCGACTTCCTATCAAAACCTTCTCCTAAGGTCTCTCTTTCTCTCTCTCTCTCTCTCTCTCTATAATATCAATATATACGTATATAATATGTATGATAATAATGTAAATAAAGTTTGGATTTTGAATGTATAAACAAGGAGAAAGAAACTACGAAAGACAGGGAGGGGAAAGCAGGTCCCACCGGAGGAACCTAAGCCGCCAAGGGAGACTCATAAATTGCTTCAGGTGTGGAATGGCTTGAATTTATCTTTGTATTCAATGAGTTTGGGTAAATACATATACATTATGATGTTCCAATTTGATGTAAGAGTTTTGGGATTATTTTACTATTTCACCACAATTTGGTTCATTAATTAATATGGAACTTTTCATGGATGGAACTGGTAGCTTGTTGTCACGACCTAAACCCGCCCCTGTAGGTTTAGTATCGTAACCGGCCAGTAATCCGTGGATTACCAAAGGCCTCTGAACAGATAAGCACATAGTAAGGGGCTACGGAAGCATTTATACAAAATAGACAAGGTCCAATGAGCTGTGGTAACATACATGAGACAGAATATTTTAAAACTTGTATCTATACACATAAGCATGTCGGTCGAAGGGCATCAATATTTACAAAACATTTACAAAAGTGTAATACCCAGGACCCAATTGTACAAGCAGACGAAAACTAACACAAGCACAAAAACAGCCATGAGACTGGACATCAATCGGAATCTCCTCGGGAGGCACAACGGTTGGCTGACAAAAACAGGGATCAAGGCCGTCAACTCTGGCCCTGATCACGCGCCGGCTCACCTACATACATAATATAAACTGTGAGCGAAAGCTCAGTGAACAATAACAGAGTAAAGGGGTTTCAATGATTGAGTCTGCATAGATTTAGAAATCATAGTTCATAAGCTGTCCAGATCATATACAGAAATCATAAGTCATGCGTAAGTATACGTGATACATCTATTAGCATTAACAGAGTAGATACAGAATACAGACAGACACGTGAGGGTTACGAATAACCAGTTCCATAAAGGAACCTCCAGATCCGAATAACAGAGAATAAATACGCTAAGCTCCATGACGGACCCTCCGGTACGGGTAATAGAGTGCAGACAGATTAAGTTCCATGGTGGAACCTCCAATACCGGGTAACAGCCAACAGATATCACATGATTCTAAGGATGTCACGAGTATATATCAGAAATTGGACAATTATTCATTGTACAGAATGTAGCATATCGGAAAACAGATCTTATTTTATCATTCAGAAAATAAATATAGTTGAACATAACTTTACTAAGTTATTACTCACAGTTAGCCTTGAGACCGACAGATGGAGCAGACTGATTAACGGTGTATGGCACGTGACCTACAGAACACTGTAGACACCCTATTTTTGACCGCCATTAAGACTTGGGCACTATTGATGGTTTACTTGGTGGAGAAATATGTGAAGAGCAAAGGTTCAGTTTCTTCGACAAGGAGAGAGTCAAATCTCAACTTCATACCCCTTTTGGACCAAAACAATGTTGATCAAAAGATTTTAGACCTTGAAACCCTCTCTTTCAAAATGTTTTGAAAATAAAGTTCCTACGATGTTCCGATGCTCGCATTTCGTTAAATGTTGCGCCTTTCGGTAAACCGAGCAAGGACGAAGTGGAAATGAATGAAAGAGAGTTGAAATCTTTGAAAAATATTTCAAAACACCTTGTTTAGGGGTTTGGAGTTGAGGAAAATTGGAGAAGAGGGAAGAAACCAAGTTGAAGAAGAAGGTGGGTATGAATCGCTAAGAGAGAGAGCCGAGCGGTCCTCGCTAAATCACGCTTATCTGTCTATACACTTGGATTTTAATTATGAGGCCACCACCGTTGGAAATCTTACTTCCGGGGCTTCATTTTGCACTCAAGAATATCCAAAAGCCAAGTCCGGATGAGGGAGATATGGTTGGTTGAAGTAGGGCATCAATCTGGTTGGACCGAAACTGCGCGAATTCACCAAAACAGGCATAACGTTTTGCACAGTTGGAATTTTGATGCAAGGCTGGTGCCATTGGAAAGCTAACTTCTGGGGCTTCAATTTGGACACTAGACGACCACTTTTTGGCCTTTCTGGCCATTAGCCGACCACTTTTCGTTCAGGGAGACCACTTTTTGTCCTAAAAAACCAGAAAAAGTAGCTGGCCGGCCAAAAAAAGTGGCTGGCCGACCACTTTCTCATGAAAAGTGGTCCGCCGACCAGTAAAAGTAGTCAGCCAACCACTTTAACTGGTCGGAGGCCTTCCTGCATATTCTACAGGTATTGTGCATATTCTACAGGTGTTGTGCATATTCTACAGGTGTTGTGGATGCTAGCTGTGCTTGCTGCAGGGCACAGACTGTATCCTCCATACACGTGTATGGCGGGATTTATCCAAGCTCTGAGCTTCTCCAAGAAGCTTTAGCTTATGTTTTTCTATAAGAGAGAGGCTTCCCCTCCCTTCTCCAGGCTGATTTTGGCTGAGAGCATAGGCTTACACTCTCTCTATATCCCTCTCTTTCTCTCTCTATGTTGGTGCTTTGCTTCACACTTGTACACACAACCGCATAGCCAAACAATCTTACCTGGTTGCTGAGTTGTTGGAGGGTCTAGAGGGAGCTCAAGAGTTGGTTTTGGCTCAGAAAATTTGTTGGTATTGCAGTGCTTCAAGGGTAACCTTCTTTTCTCCCTGTTTAGCTCTATTTTGATCACTCTCTTAGCCATATTTTCATGATTCTCTTGGCTTAACTTCAAACTACAAAAAGCTTTATTTTTTAGTACTTAACATGTTTGTTTGAGGCTCCTTGGGTGTTGGGGGTGTTCTACCCCCTTTTGTGCCTTGTTTGGCGTTATTTTGTGCTATGCCTTGAGGCCTTTGAATTAGTCTTTGCTTAACCTTTTAACCACTGAAATCCAGTGGATTTTCAGTGGTAGGCATGTGGTTTTGAGGCCTCAAATCAGAGGGGGGTGATCCCCTCTCTTCTTGTTTTGTTTGCTTGCATTATTGGCCTATCAAAGGAGCATGTGTTTCTACCATTTTGAGGCTTAGTTCAGGCACTTTTATGTGACTTCTAGGGCCTTCCTTGACTCTGTCTTTGGCTGGTTTGGTCACCTTTTGCATGCTTCTTGTATGTGTAGTGTAATCCCATTTGTGGCTCATCAAAGTAGCATGTCTTTCTAGCATGTATTGGCTCCATTTCAGTGGGTTTTTGGCCATCATTTGACATGTCATAACTCTATTTTGGGTTGGTTTAATGGCCCCATGCATGCTCCATGCACTTGTAGTGCGTTTCCATGAAATAGCCTAACATGCATCATGCTTCGACATGTCATTTTAGCATGCTTTTGGCTTAGCTTTGAGAAGACTTTGTTCATGTTTTAGCATGCTTAAGGTCTTATTTATGTTGTTTTGGTCATGCATGCCATGCTTTGTATAGCCATAGTGCATTTTAGCTCACTAGCCTTGAGTTTCCAAGCCACTAGCATGCGTTGCTTGGGCTATTTGCATGATTTAGCATCATTTCGAATGATATTTTAGAGCTTATATCTTTTCCATATTCTCGTGTTTATCACTCCTTCAATGTGTTTGAGAGTTGCACCTTTATGCCTTATTTGTGAGCCATTGCATGAGCCTCATTTTCTTGCCTTTCAAGCCATCATCTCAGTCCATTTTGGCTACTGTTTTGGCCTGCAAAAGGTCTGTTTGGGGCTGGTTTGTCCATTTGAGCATTGTCTTGCATGCCTCTAGTGTAATACACTTCACTAGCTTCGATGCTTGAGCCTTTCAACATGCATTACATGGGTTGTTTGCATGATTCTAAGTCATTTTGCATGCCATTTCAGTGCTGGAACATATGTCATTGTACTCCATGTTTCATCCTTTCAATGCCTTTGGAGAGTCATATTTTGTGCCTTGAGCATGGGCCAATATGCATGCATGTTTGTATAGCATTTTGAGTTTTTATCTTAGCATGTATGGCCACTGATTTGGGCATGACTGAGGTCAGTCCATTTTGGTTTAAGTCCATCGAGCATTGTGTACGCCATATGATTCATTACGTTGTGTATGTCATGTCCATTCGCATTGTGTATGCTAGTTGTTGTTCATATTATAGCATGCTTATGTTGTCTTGCATTGAGTATGCATGCATTAGCATAATTTGCATGTCTTTAGCTTTGTTAAGTTAATCATGTCACATTGCATTGAGTGGGCCATGTGGTTCTTAGCACTGTGCATTGTGCATGCCATTAGCATTAAGTATGCTAAGTTACATTGCATTGCAAATTTGCATGCTTGTCCCTTGCATGTTGTTTGCACGCTTGTTTAGTTGTATTGCATCGAGTTGCATGCTTGAGTTGCATTGGGTATGCCATGCTTGCTTTGCATTTGTGTTTGGAATAGGTGTCAGTCCAAACACGAGAAACGAGGGACGTTTCATACTTGAAGTGATGAAACGTGCCTCAATTCTCGATCGCCGATGCTCTTGATCATACATGATAGAGTTTTAGGCTTTATGTGTTTACTTGTGCATTCATTTCCATGTTGAATTGTGCAACTTCGCTTCTCATCCATCATGCATTGAAATGCGTGATTGATGGCCCAAGGGTCGAAAACCACACTCCCATGAGCTTATGAAATGATAGGGAGGGTGGTTGTGCACACATATCTTCTAAATACATTGCCATGCCCTTTCTGGCTCTCTGTTGCACCAAATTGAAGTCTGGCAGTAGAAACTGGTCGCCCGACCAGGTAAAGTGGCTGGCCGACCACTTTTTCTGGTTTTTAGCACAAAAAGTGGTCGGCAGGTGGTCTCCAATGCCAACAACTGGTTGGCAGCATCCCTACAGGTTCCCATGGTGGAGCTTCATCCTTCTAGAGCCTTGTGCAGAGTTCTGGGACCAGTTGCAAACAGAGGCAAATCGGGGCATCGAGATGGATTTTCGAGCGAGGCGATTCGAGCATGCATGCATCCCTTGTCATGAGGCCATTTCAATGTTTTGTTAGCTTATAATGTATATTTGTTTCAATTTTGGTTGTGTAATAATTAATTAGCTAGAATAGTTAGTTAATTAGTCGGTTCTGTATTATTTATTTGGACCCTCCGTCGAGAGGGCCAACTGTTGTAATAAGTGTGTGTGTGTGTGATGCATGTCTTCCATGCCCCATTTCTTTCTCCTTTTCATTTACTAGCTTTCGATGGTTAGTTTTAGGG